GCCCACCTTGAAGTTGACCGGGTCCACCCGCAGGATGTAGGCATGCAGCTCGCTCAGCTTGGCCAGGGCGCCGGTGATGTTGTCGATGTTCTTGACAGCGTCGCCCAAGGCGGCCACCACCTTTGAGCCGTGCGCACGCAGCTGCGCCGACCCCGCGTGCAGGTCGAAGTGCGGGAAGTAGGTCTTCGTTTGAGGGTAGGTGATGAAGAGCCTGCGGCGGGCGGGTTGTGAGCTCTAGGTCTCCTTAAAGCGGCGCCGCAGCAGTCCCCAAAGCTTGGCGGGATGCCCCAGCCGGCGCCCAGCCTGCTGCGGCCCCTCGACCTCCCACTGGGCTCCAGGCCCAACTCCTGCAGCCCTCGCCTGTGTCTTTGTTCCCAACTGGTCCCAAGTCCACCTGCTCCGCCTCCAGCACCCAGGGCGCCCCCTGCCCGCCACGCCTCTCCCTGGGCATTTAGAACTTGCTTCCCACAGTGGGTCTGCTGTGCCTTCTGGCAGGACTCATGTCCTCCCAACAGTATTTAAAGAGAGGAAGCTCTCTCTTCAGGAAACCCTCCTCTGACCCTCCTGCCCGAGACCAGATGCTTTGATATTAGTGGTGCCAGCAACCTGACTGCCTTGGAAGGCACTTAGGCCTGGGAGGGAAACGTTTCCCCTCTCCACGTGCCAGCTGGGCCTGGCCCTGCTCAGATCTCAGTGAGCTGTGGGTGGCAGAGCCTGTGCACCTGGTCTTCTGGCGTTGTTCCCCTCCTCCTCACTGGCCCCTCCTCAGTGGCCCATTCCTGGACATCCTCTCCTCATTGACCCATTCTCACTGACCCCTTCTCACTGACCCAACTCACCAATCTGGCCTCTGACCTGTCCCTCAGGCAGTCATGTCCAGGACTCACCTCTCCAGGGTCTCAGTGCCAATGGTGTCGGCCTGTGTGGAGATCTTGCCCCACATGGACACAATGATGGCCCTCTCAGTCTTGGTCAGAGACATGGTGGTGAGGGTGGGCAGCTGGGCTGGAGCTGGGTCTGCTCAGGACTGGCCTCAGTGATGCTCAGCCCCCACAGTCCTCTTATATCCAGGCACTGGCCAGGCTGTGGCTGTGGGTGGGGAGAGGGGAGGTAGCTGCGGGGGGGGGGTGCTGCCCTTATTTTCTTATCAGATCCAGTGATGGGCAGGCAGGGCCTGGTGGGACTGGCAGGGGAGTGAGGGGCTATCACTCTTGCCTGCCTTGCTTGAGGGGGTGTTGGCCACAGTCTGGCCACAGAGCCCAGAAGAGATAGGGGCCCAGCCATCCCAGGGGGTCATCCCTGCAGTTATGGTCAACTTCTGCACTGTCCTTATTGTGCTTTAGAATCACAAAATGGAGGAAACCAGAGGAGCAAGTTCAGAGATACACCCTCCTTGAGAACATCTCTGCTCCGTCCTCAGGTTAGCATAGCTCAGCCACATGTCAGTTCCCTTCCCAATCCCTGGGTATGTCCACTGGGAAGGCTTCGGTTGCTCCAGCACTGAGGAAGATGCGCCGGGACTGTTTGCTGACCAGTGGGAGGAGGTAGCAGGTTAATAGAACTCAGCTAGTATAATATGCTATTGGTGACTGCGGTGTTGCTGTTCACAGCAGGCATTGTAGCACCAATGAGGCAGATATTCCTTTGAATTTAATTTTAACATACAATAAAATTTGCTTTATATTGTCTAAATTCAACACATATATATCAATTTGCATAGCCACGACCACATCTGGACACAGAGCAGCTCCACCACCCCCATCCACTGCCATACACTGACTTCTCATGAGCAGTCTACCCGCTTCCTGCCCCTAACCTCTGACAAAGGCTATAATTCTGTGGGTTTTTTTTTTTTTTTTTGAGACAGAGTCTCACTATGTCACCCTTGGTAGAGTGGTGTCACAGCTCACAGCCACCTCAAACTCTTGGGCTCAAGTGATTCTCTCGCCCCAGCCTCCTGAGTACCTGGGACCACAGGCGCCCACCACAACGCCTGGCCATTTTTTGGTTGCAGTTGTCATTGTTGTTTAGCAGGCCCAGTCTGGGCTCGAACCCGTCACCTTCAATGTATGTGGCTGGCGCCCTACTCACTGAGCTATGGGCACTGAGCCTAGTTTTGTGTTTTTCAAAATATAGTATAAATGAAGCATCACAAGAATGGAGAAGCAAGAATCCAATGTACTCAATTCTAATATGAAGGTAGTAGATGAGCTAATACAAGAGGTGGGGTAGGGGAATGAGGACGTGGGGAGAGGGGAGGAGAGAAAGGGATGGGGGGGTCACGGTGTATGGCGCACCTTTTGGGGGATGGGACACAATAAGAGGGACTTTATCTAACAAATGCCATCAGTGTAACCTAATTCATTTTGCCCTCAATGAATCCCAAACAAACAAACAAAAATATATAGTATAAATGGAATCATATAGTATAGTGATCCTTTAATACTGGCTTCTTTTATGTAGCATAATGTCCTTAAGTTATTTAAGTTATTGTGTGTATCAATAGTTGGTTCCTTTTTAATTCTATGGCATGAATAGGTCACAGCTTGTTCATCCATACGCCCACTCACGGACACTCGGGTTATTTCCAGTTTAGGGCTATTACCAATAAAGCTGCCATGAACATTCATATATACATCTTTATGTGGACATAAGTTTTCATTTCTCTAGGGTACTTGCATTTCTAGGAGTAGGAGTGCTGGGTCATATACCGAGTGTACACTGAACTTTATAAGAAACTGCCAAACTGGTTCCCACAGTTGCTGTATTATTCTGCATTTCTGTCAGCATTGAAGTGTAGTTGTAGTTGCCCCACATCTTTGCCAGCATTTTGGCATTTTAGCTATTAACAGAGGTGTTATAGTGATATGTCATCATGGCTTTCAAAGTACTAGAATTGCAATTATGAGCCATTGTGCCTGAAAAAAAATTTTTTTTTTTTTCCCTTGGTAGAATGCTGTGGCGTCATAGCTCACAGCAACCACCAACCCCTGGACTTAAGTGATCCTCTTGTCTCAGCCTCCCGAGTAGCTGGGACTACAGGTGTCTGCCAGAATGCCTGGCTAGTTTTTAGATGGAGGTCTTGCTCTTGCTCAGCTCTTGACGTCCAGCTATATACCCATCTCAGCCTCCCAGAGTTCTAGGATTACAGGTGTGAGCCACCACTGGCTGTTTTTTTGTATTGTTTTTTCTTTTGGAGACCGAGTCTCAGTCTGTCACTCTGGGCTGAGTGCCTTGATATCACCATAGCTCACAGCAACCTAAAACTCTTGGTTTGAGCAATCCTTTTGCCTCAGCCTCTTAAGTAGCTGGGACTATAGGTGTGCACCACGATGCCCAACTAGTTTTTCTAATTTATTTATTTATTTTTTTATTTTTGAGACAAAGTCTCACTTTGCTGCCCTCAGTAGAGTCAATAGCTCACAGTAATCTCAAACTCCTGGGTTCAAGTAATCCTCTTGCCTCAGTTTTTCTATTTTTAGTAGAGATAGGGTCTCACTCTTGCTCAGGCTGGTCTTGAACTTCTGAGCTCAAGCAATCCACCCGCCCAAAGTGCTAGGATTATAGGCGTGAGCCATCACACCTAGCACCTTTCATGTTCTTATTTGCCATCCACATACCTATAAAAATATGCCCAATTTACTTTTTATAAATAAGAGGAGAAATTAATTCAGAGAAAATGTACAATAATTTCAACAAATAATGCTGGAACAATTGGACATCCATGAGGAAAAAAATCAACTTAGACCTGGGCAGTGCCTGTGGCTCAATGGGTAGGGTGCTAGCCCCATATACACAGAGTGGCAGATTCAAACCTGGCCCCAGCCAAACTGCAACAAAAAAATAGCTGGGTGTTGCGGCAGGTGCCTGTAGTCCCAGCTGCCCAGGAGGCCGAGGCAAGAGAATCCTAAGACCAAGAGTTGGAGGTTGCTGTGAGCTGTGACTCCACAACACCCTACCGAGGGTGACAGAGTGAGACTGCTGCCCAAGCATGATTCATTTTTAAAAAGCCAATAAATTGGATTTCCTCAGAATTAAAACCTTTGTTGTCAAAGAGTTTGTTAAGAAACTGAACTGGGGCAGCGCCTGTGGCTCAGTGGGTAGGGTGCTGGCCCCATATATTGAGAGTGGCGGGTTCAAACCTGGCTCTGGCCAAACTGCAACAAAAAAATAGCTGGGTGTTGTGGCCTATGCCTGTAGTCCCAGCTACTCGAGAGGCCGAGGCAGGAGAATCGCCTAAGCCCAGGAGCTGAAGGTTGCTGTGAGCTATGATGTCACAGCTCTCCACACCGAGGGTGACAAAGTGAAACTCTGTCTCTAAAAAAAGAAAAAGAAAAAAAAGAAAGAAACTGAACTGATGCCGGTGCGGTGGCTCACACCTGTAATCCCAGCACTGTGGGAGTCTGAGGAGGGAGAATTGCTTAAGCTCAGGAGTTGGAGACTCGCCTGAGCGAGAGTGAGACCCAGACTCCTAAAAAAATGAAAAACCCAGTTGGGCGCCTGACGAGCACCTGTAATCCCATCAGCGGGATGCCCACAACCCAAGCCTGAGGTTGCAGTGAGCTATGATGCCATTGCACTTTGGTCAGGATTGCACTCTGCTCAGGGCATAGGGTGGGACTGTGTCTCAACAAAAAAGAAAAAGAAACTGAGCTGATAAGCTATGCACTAGGAGAAAATAGCCATAGGTTGCATATCTGACGAAGGATTTCATCTAGAATAGATACAGAACTCTAAAAATTCACTGATAAGAAAACACATAATTTAAAAATGGGTGAAACAGGTGAAACAGGCGGTGCCTGTGGGTGAAACACTTGACAAGAATGAGACCCTCTCTCTACAAGAAATAGAATTATCTGGGTGTAGTGGCTTATACTTATGGTCCCAGCTAGTTGGAAGGCTGAGGCAGAAGGATCACATGAAGCCACCTGAAGCCAGGAGTTTGAGGTTGCCGTGAGCTGTGATGATGCCATTGCACTCACTCTGAACAAAAACCCACAAAGAGATACTGTTACACAACTACTAGGATGACTATAATTAAAAAGACAAAATAAGTGGGTGGCGCTTGTGGCTCAAAGGAGTAAGGCAGCAGCCCCATATGCTGGAGGTGGCGGGTTCAAACCCAGCCCTGGCCAAAAAAAAAAAGACAAAATAAGTGTTTGCAAGAATGTAAAGAACTTGAAATATTTATACACTGTTGATAGGAATACAAAACGGTGCAGACGCTGTGGGAAACAGCTTGGCAGTCTTCAAAAGATCGAACAATTACAGTATGAGCCAGCTATTCTACTCCTAGACGTATACCCAAGAGAAATGAAAGCATATGTCTATACAAAACTTGGATGATAGTAATATTATTCACAACAGTCAAAAAGTAGAAGCCACCCAAATGTCTATCAATTGATGAATAACATATGGTATAATTTATACAAACAAATACTCTTCAGTCATAAAAAAGAATGAAGTACTGACGTGCCCAAACATGGATGAACCTTGAAAACACATGATCAGTGAAAGAAGCCAGACCCAAAAGACCACATATTGTGTGGTTCCACTTATATGAAATGTCCAGAATGGGCAAATACATAGAGAACAGAAGACTGCTGGTTATCTAGGGCTGGAGTAGTGGGGGGTGTGACTGCTGATGGACATGGGCTTTGTTTAAAGGTGATGAAAACATTCTAAAGTTGATTGTAATGATGGTTGCATAACTGTGAAGACTCTAAAATTCACTTAACTGTACACTTTAAGTGGGTGAATTGTATGGTATATGAATTCTATCTCAAAAAGCTGTTAAAAAATTGAGCAATGTGGCTGGGCTTGGTGGCTCACACCTGTAATCTCAGCACTCTGTGAGGCTGAGGTGGTAGGATCCCTTGAGCTCAGGAGTTTTAGACCAGTGTAAGCAAGGGTGAGACCCCCTGTCTCTACTAAAAGTACAAAAACTAGCTGGACATTGTGTAGCACCTGTAGTCCCAGCTA